GAGTGACAAGTCTGAGAGACAGCCTTCTGAGTCTGTGGGAGAAAGAAGGGCCATGATGCCAGCATCCGAAGAGAAAGACGATGAGAAGAGTGACAAGTCTGAGAGACTGCCTTCTGAGTCTGTGGGAGAAGGGACTGCCATGATGTCAGCATCCAAAGAGAAAGAAGAGAAGAAGGGAGTAGTAGAGAACCCAAATGTCCTCAGCCCTCTGTCCAAAGAACTCTTGGATGTCAAGGATGTGTCTCGCAAAGAGCAGCAGTCGCTAAAAGATGAGATTAGCGGTGGAAAGGGCAATGAGGAGGATGAGGACGCAGAGAAGTGTGAAGATGAAGAAGAGCCAAAAAAGAAGAGACAGCGGAAGAACACAAAAGCGAAAGCAAAAGCCAAGGCAAAAGCCAAGGCAAAAGAGAGGGCAGCGGCAGCGAGGGCACAAGCCAGGGCAAAAGCCAAGAAGGCGATGGAAAAGAAGAATGCCAAGCCCGAGAATGAGAATGGTGCAGAAAAGGGGAATGATGATGATGATGACACCAAGCCTAAGAGGAGCAGGGGCAAGGCACCGAAGCAAGATGATGATGCCAAGCCTAAGAGGAGCAGGGGCAAGGCACCGAAGCAAGAAGATGATGATGATGCCAAGCCTAAGAGGAGCAGGGGCAAGGCACTGAAGCAAGATGATGATGATGATGCCAAGGATCACAGAAAGGAGAAGGCGCAAAAGAAGGATCATGATGATGCCAAGACTGTCAAGAAAGCACAGGCCAAAGGCAGGGCAAGGAAGACTGAGGTGGAAACTGGTGGCAGTGACAAAAGAGACAAGCCGCAGGCCAAGAGGGCTCGCAGGCAGAAGGTAGAACTGGATGCTCCAGATCTAGCCTTGGCCGACCCAGCCCCGAAGAAGGAGAAGGCAACTTTTGCTCGTCGATACATGCCAAAGGTGGAGCCAACACGGAGCTTTTGGTTGGGCACCAGGCAGGTCTTCCAGGACCTGATTGTGGGGCAGGTGAAAGCACCATCGCTGATGGAGGACGAGCTTGTCAAACAGAGTTAAGATTACCAAAGCAGTTTCCTCTAGCCTTTTTCGATATTGTGACTCAAATGCTTATGAGATTGAAGCAACCGTGATGTTTTTGTTCTGAAGAAAGTTCAAGTGTTTAACCTACCTTCGAGCAGGTGATGTCTTTAGCAAACACTACCTCCAACTATCACTCCTGGACAGGCCCGTTTCTATGACTTCTGCATGAATGCTTGTGGGAGAGATGGCAATGGTGTTGAAGAGGCCATGGATTGGGCAAGTTTCATCGACTTAGCTTCGAAGTGGGCAAGAGAGTTTCTTCTAGTGCTCCATGACAAGCCACTCGGCACATGAACACCAATGCTTCTCTTTCTACAGTGAGTAGACCCTGAGGAGGTAGTTCTTATTCCTTGATATCATGTTGATGCCACTGCTTTTCCAAGTCTAAAAAATGGATGTCAAATCCAATTCCTTTGAATCATACTCCACCAAAAACAACCAGTGTCCTTCATCCAAGGCCAGTGGAATCGTGATCGATCCACCACGTGGTCACTGAAGATGACCTGAGGGGGCACTGATGCGGGCATGCATCATTCATGTTTACAACACTTGGCAACCTGTGTGGATACACGCGGGCTAGGGCCTCGTTCCATAGACATTGCAGAAGAAGGAAAAATACAAAGCCTTGCCAACTCTTCAAAACCTTTTCTCTGCTATGTTATTGTGTCATGGAGGATTGTGGGAGTCATACATGTCGAATGCAGGTACTGATGCCACGGTTCTTGAAAGCCTTGGGCAAATGGGGCCTTGCCAGCGGTACTTCTGGCCTGGCCTTGTCAATGCTTTCTGAAGTCAAGACCTTCATGAGATCGGTGTGATCTGCAGTTTCATTCCTTAGCTCAACCGGCGTGCGTGGATCGGAGCCATGAAACCTCATGAGATCCAACTTGTTCTTCGTCGGATGATAGCCTTGGGGCTCCCTAGAGTGGCTCAACTGAGACTAAATGAGTTTGGGGTATTCCAAATCTTTGCTACTTTCTACTTCAATTGCTTGAGGCCTTTGTGCTGCTGGTCCTCATGACCTCCTGGCTTGACATTTTTCAGGACGCAGGAGAGCCATTGCGGCTCTTGGAATTGTTTGCGGGCCAGGCTCGCCTGACTCGTTTGGCGAAGGCTCTGAACTTACCAGCAGAGGCGCATGATCTAGCATATGATGACTCCATGGA